GCTGACCTGCTGATCTAGCAGTAGCCTGCAGTGCTGCATTTAACCACTGCGCCACCTTGGCTCTTGCTTCAGTATGTCAGTAGTAAATATTTTATCAATACACAAATAAAATTGGATAAGGCTAAATAAATTGGGCTCTCTTAACACAAGCATATTTTGTCCTAAGATGTATAACAGATCTATTTTATCCTTGCAATTTAGTGATTTATATAAGAGGGTTGTATATATGGTTGTGTGAAAAAGAAAGTACACTATCTTTGAGTTCTATGGTCCTGCATATTGGCATAGTAAAAATCATCTGATCCTTAGCAGTTCTTAAAAGTAAATAAATACAACCTTGGATGAATAATAACACATGACATGTTATTACCATGTCATCATTTATTTTACAAAAAGAAAGCCAAAATGGAGAAACCATGTGTGAAAAACTAAGTACACCTTAATGATTCAGTAGTTTGTAGAAGCACCTTTAGCAGCAATAACTTGAAGTAATCATTTTCCATATGACTTATCAGTCTCTCACATAGAGGAATCTTCTTTACAACATAGCTTCAATTCATTGAATTTTATGGACATTTGATTAACACAGCTTTCTTGAGGCATTTCCATGGCATTTCAATCAGGTTGAGATCTGGAACACCACAATTCTTTTTTTTAACCATTCTGTTGTATATTTGCTGGTGTGCTTGTGATCGTTGTCCTGTTGCATGATATAAGTCAACCTTTAGCAGTGGGATAGATGGCATCACATTGGACATTAGAATTCTTTGGTATATAGAGGAGTTAATGATCTATTCAATCACTACAAGAAATCCATGTCCTGTGGCTACAAAATGAGCCCAAATCATCCTCTCTCCATCACTGTGTTTGACAATTGGGTATGAGATGTTTGTGCTGTGTTTAGTTTTTGCTGCTAAATGTGACACTGTGCATTATGCCAAACATCTTCACTTTGGTCTTGTCTGTCCAAAGGACAGTGTTCCAGCAGTCTTGGGATTTGTTCAGATGCAACTTTGCACACCTAAGCCTTGCTGCCATGTTTCTTTTAGAGAGAAGAGGCTTTCTCTTGGCAACCCGTCCAAACAAACAATACTTGTTCGCAGTGGCAAGTGATTCCACAAGGCACTTGAAGTTTTTGTAAAACAAATGATGGCATCATTTAATATGTCATGCAATGTTGTTCATCTGACATATTTATCTACTTTTAAGAACTGCTAAGGACCAGATGATTTTTAGTATGTCCTGATATATAAAACCGTAGAACTCAAAGAGCGTGTACTTTTTCACATGACTATATCATAGTAATAGTTTGGGGGTTATATAGTTATGAAATTTGAATGTACTAGTACATGGATGTCAAACTCACTGCATCACATTGCTCTCACGTGACATAGCGTGACTGTTTTCTCATTCGCTAAAATGGGGTGGGCGTGGCCATTGTGTTATGCATCCAGCCCTTGGGTCGCAAGTTTGACATCCCTGTACTAGTAGGTTACAAAATCTGGGATTTCTTAAGTGAGAAGACTACTTTAGGGATAGGATTTCCCGAGAAGACAGACTGGTTATAAATACTAGTGTTCCATGGTCAAATGTACTGTTTCAGGAATATTGTATCTATTAAAGCATATCTCAACTGAATTAGTTGCATATCAAAAAAATATTCCAAAAATGATTGTACTGGCTTTAGAAAAGAGATGTTTTTTTTAAAAAAGAACTGCATGTATATATTTTAAAGTCATAGTTGCAGATTTTTGAAGAAGACTGAAAACATTGTGATGCTGATTTTTAACAGTATCAGTGTTTTAGTTGTCTAAACTGCATCTTGTTCCACATACAGTACTTTAAGAATTCTGTTGCATTAGTTGATTCTAGCTGCTAATAAAAAATGTTACCATTTTGTCCTGTTAAACATTGGTAATGTTCCAAATCGTAAGTTTAAGACTAGTAGTAAATATGTTACATATTTTATATATTATGATTTAATTAATGCAATAATTTTAATATGTTAGAAAGTAGATTTGTTCAGAACTTTATTAAAATAACATTCAAATGTTATTCAGCTGCAGATTTTCTTTTCTACAATGATTCTCCTTGTAGTATATATTAAATTGCTTTTTGCTGTATAAAATCAGCCTATTTTCCAATTATCCATAAAGGTTGATGAACTGTGTGTGTGTGTTTAACATGCTAAGCTTTTTATGAGTTTTATGAACTAAGTGTTTAATAGATAATCACATAATGCAGTTATAAATGATACATCAAATTCTTAAATTCATGATATAAGAAAGATTTTAAAAGTTGGTTTTCAAGATGGATATAATGATTTTAACAGCTAACTAAAATATATATTTCAGAAGCTACATGGGGTGGGGGTGGCAAATATATTACTGCAAAAATAAAAATATACCAGGCTATCATAATTTTCTGATGATCTACAAGTGTAAAACAGATGGTAATATTTAACTATAAGCAATATGCTGCAGTCTATCAGGCTGTGATAAATAACCACTTTTATATGAATATAGGTGTATTGTTCTAATTTTTACCAGTGTAAAATATTTGCATTAGAACAGTTAAGATGATTAACTGAAATGACATTAAATGATATAACTGATATAGCTGCATAAATAATACATGTGTCCTTTAAATGTGGAGAGTTTTCCTTTTGAATTAATTTTGTATTAAAATATTGTTTTATGCCAAATTTAACTGCATTGAGGTACTTAACCATACTACGTACATATGCATGCATATTATGTTCAATTTATTGTTAGTTTCCTCCATGCTTAATTTTAGATATTATAATAGAAAATCCGTATTAGTCTTTAGTGAGAAAAATCTGGCAGCACTTTTTCTGACTTGCAGATTTTGTTAAAATACGTAAGCATTTGTGAGCTACATTCACATCATCAGATCCAACTGATGACGTGAGCTGCAGCCACAGTAGCTTGTACCTCTTAATATGTTTCTCAGAAAAAATGCTACCATAATCCTGTGAATCCATGCTGTTTTAGTAATTAAATTAAATTAATTTTATATTTCTTAATATTTTAAATTATTATTGTTTTGCTCAGGCAATTCATTCTGTAGCTTGGCATCACGAAGGAAAGCAATTTATTTGTAGCCATTCAGATGGCACTTTGACTATATGGAATATAAGGAACCCTACTAAGCCATTGCAGACAATCACTCCCCATGGTAAGTTCACAGTGTATGTGTTTTGTATTTAATATGTTGGTACACTATGCCTTCGGTTGTACTTCTCCACATATCTAGAAGTAAATCTTATTGAATTTGCTCCCATATTGATCCTACAGTGACTAAATGTTCCTAGATTGTTACAGAATATTTGTATATTCTTATATGTACAAAAATATTTTTCAGTGTCTTATTCTCAGATACATAGATTAGTGTAAGTAATAACATATTACTTACACTGCATATGGCCAGGCTTGCTTTATTTTATTTTTTTACTGTTAAAACTAATTTGACTTTTTAAAAATTAAAAGCAAATATGTTTCAGAATTAGGTTGTAGGTCATTATTACAATATAAGAGTGTTACAATATTTCATTGTGTTTAAATACTAATACTGGTTTTAATTTGGTCCTGATACATAAAATCTTTATTTAAGTATAATGTTAGTGTGACAAAAAAAGATTTATCCTTTGCCATTTTCTAGGAACAGTTTATATTAAATTCTATTCAATTCAGTAACTGTCAATTACTGATGGTTATTTTAGATAAATGCTCATTTCTTATAAAATACACGGGGATGATTCCACTTAAACAGTTATAACAAAACTGGACTAAACAGATTTTCCTGCTCATTCTTTCCATTGCATACTCTATTTAGCAAAGATTACAGGTAGTCCTCAAGTCACAACAGTTCACATAGCGATGGTTCAAAGCAGTGGTGGGTTTCAAAAATTGTTCGAACCTACTCTGTGGGTGTGGCCTCCTTTGTGGGAGTGGCTTGCTGCCCATGTGACCGGATGGGAGTTGCTAGCTGCCCATGTGACCGGATATGAAGATGCCGACGACACTTGTCAGAACCACACACACAGCACTGGCATGCATAAGAATATGATGTAAACTTGTTTTTTAAAAGGCATCTTTGGTTTGTGTTAAAACAACTTCAACACACGCAATGTTCTGATTGCACCACAAA